TTCTGCCAAATGGAATAAATGTGTTTTTTTTTCTTTTTTTTTGCTTCCTTTCAAGGAAAGGGAAAGCAGTGCTCATGCGTAGTGGAAGGTGAAAGTCCATTTTGTGATTTGATCTCGGAGCAATTGATCCGTTCGAGGCGAGAAAACTCAAACGTTTTTACATTGTCAAACGTAATCTGAGTTATTAAATAATCAAATGTAACAATTTCATCCTATTGAAAACTGTAAAAGTTGTTTTTTTTTTTTACAAAGTAAACCGGTTTACAGTCGATAGGCAAGTTTCACTTTCTCCTGACCTTGTAACACACTTTTCCCTGTCTCATGCATTTGCATCTACATCTAGTTCGTTCACCCCGGCTCTTGCAGTCAATAAGATTTCAACATCATTGGTTGAACTGGGAGGACGCTGTTACCATAAACAAGCTAACCCCTTTCCGACTAGCGTTGCGCTTATTACGCTGGAAGGGGTTATGCACACAAGGCAGAACAGCTTAGTTAGTGACCTAGCTTCGTGAAGAGGTAAATGAACTGTTTTTTAGGTCAAGCTGCGCTGAGGTTTTGCTAACTGTTAAGGGGTCAGCTGGTCTTTCGCTCGATGTGTTGTAACCTGACGTAATCGCAGCAACAATTTTACTTTCTCCCTTTTTATTTTAAGATTTTTAATTATTAAAAAAATACGAGACGTTTTTAATCGCATTTAAAATTCTTCATTAATCGCGGGAGTAAAAAAAAAAAAAGTTAATTTTATTTTAGTCGACAATGTGTTAAGTGGTATTTATGTAGAAATGAGGTTTCTTCGCTGGTAGGCGAATAAATCTTGCCTTCTGGCAATAAAGAGAGAAATTCTAGAGATAAACAGAGAATTCACTTTTAAAACACTATTAAACTGATATAACTCTTTGTTTACAAATGAATTAAGATAATAGAATACTTTCTATAATTTTTGTTTTGTTAAAAGAAAGAAAGGATGATTACTTAGTGATTAAAAAGGTGACAGAGATCTTTTCGTTTCTATAATTACGCCCTTAGGAGGTTCTATTTTTCCAACGGTTACATTTCAATCTGTTTCTATTTGATTTAAATCGATCTCGCTTATAATTGATTGTGAACTCGTGATTGATTTATTGACGAAATTTCATTCAAAAGATTTATTTGATCTTTTTCAGAAATAGATTCATTTAATTCCAATTTAAACGGAACATTGCATTAAATGATCCATTTCTGGAATCGAAACAGAAATTGTTTCGTTTCGCGATGAAAAGTTCAATCCGTTTTTAAACCGAAATGATCAATTTCCTTTAATTAATTCGTTCTGCGATCGATCACGAATCGATTCATTTTAGAGTCCGAAGATTTTTCTTTATTTCGTCTAATGATATTTTTTCTTTCCTTCAATTATTTCATTAAATGATTCATTTCAAAAACTGATTAGTTTCTCTTCTATGCAGACTTTTTGTTGTTTTGTGAACGGTATACGATCCGAACCGAAAGTTGATTTACTTAAGTAATAATTATATCAGTCGGTTGTAAAAAGAAAAATTTCCTTTACTAATTTAGGAATTAATACTTCGCGGAAATAGACCGTTTTAAAGGGTTAGTGTTGGCAAGCAATCAACCATTCTATTGTCCAATGGAGGTAGGAAGTTATGACTGCTCTATGCGCTTCTATCTGTAACAAAAGAGTAAACTCCGAAACGGAACAGTTCTTATATGATATAGGTTAGTTATACCGATAACAGGATCTTTTTTCCTGCTTGTATTGTTTCGCCTATCGCTTAACATCGATTATTATTTGTAACAGATGAATCCGAATCGAAAACTCGATTGATCAATATAATATCGAGTTTCCTATGAAAATAACGAAAATCGATTTTTTTTTGTTTTGGTGATGGATGGTCCCGAAAGGAAAACAATTGCAGTAAATTCAACATTTGTTCTTATTAATAAATATATATATATTTATTTATTTTTAAATGGCAAACAAAAATAGATCGAAACGAAAGTGGAATATTCAAAAATGCATTGTTACAAACGATATACATTTTATAATCCGGAAATTTAAAAATAAAATAATAATCCGAACTTCCTTAACGTTCTTCTAATTTAAAAAAATTTCTATTAACATTTTATTATCGTTGTTGTTATTTATTAAAATAAATATGGCTAAATTACGGAGCAAAAGTAAAGAATAAGTGAACGTGGTTTAACTGGACCACTTTCCGGGTTAGAAAGAGAAGTTGGGAATGAATGTGAAAGTGGCCTAGATTTTCACTCGGCTCATACACACAACACACTCGCCATACGCCATTAAGAACACACGGCCAGGCTGGTGTGAACGACCGGCATACTTTTGACGTTTAGGGGGGGAGAGAATCGAAAGGAAATGGTGGCAGCAACTCTGTTAATGCGATGCCAGCGATGGCCTAGAAATGAACGCGACACCGACGAGGAAAGGCAGCGTTTATTGTGGCCGGTGTTTGCAAAGTAGGATGGAAGAAAGTATTTGATATCCTAATAGGTGATCTCCGTCTCTGTACAAAGTTCGAACTGTGCTTTCTCTAGGATTTTTTTTCAAACTTTGAAGTGTGTAAAATTTCTCCATTATGTTGGACACGTTATCCTACGGTAACATTCTGAATTCGAGGATGTCAGAATGGATGTTTCAGTGTAATGACAATTTGCCATATTCTTCACCCGAAATTGGGGGTAAGTTTCGATTATTTATTAGTTTATTCTGATTAAAGAGTAATCTGTCTTATTATATATGTTGTCGTTTGAAAGTTTTTCTGTGGTTTGCAATGGAAATCGAGCGAGTAACTTTGAAAACTTATTCTTACTGATGTATAAGGAATAAATGTTTAATTTATTATTAATTTATATAATTTTGTTATATGTTGTTAAGTAATTGTTTAGTTCGTCTAAGTTAAACGTTATGTAACTTTAGCTAACTCAAGGACTGTTACGAACAGGGCGGGTACTTTGTTAAGTGTGTCAACTTACACTTTTCCCCTTCTATCGAGAGGGGAAGAGAAAACAGGCCATCGGATCACTGACACTCAACTAGGTCTAAATCCCCGAATAACGTCACAGCCTCGTTATGGTGACCCGTACATAAAGAAGTTTCAGTGAAAGTTATTGTGCTCCCTCCGTGCCTACTTTTCCATCAATAAAAATTAACTTTAACTTCGTAATACTAGAAATGTCCGACGATTATTTAATGTCACTTTCGTTTTTTTTTTCTTCTCCTTTTTTAAATTTTATTTTTATACTCGTGACATCATCGCCTGTAAACCTTCTGCTAAAAATAAATTTAGTATTTATGCACATAACAAAAATCGGAGTGGTTTAAAATTAGTTTTAGCAGTTTAAATAATTTTCATATGTGTATTTTATGCGTAATTGTATTTTGCATGTATGAAGCAACAGGTTTTAATTCGAGTATTTGAGATGAATATTATTCTAAGTGGGTACAATGCTCGTCAAAATTAATTAAAACGGAAATTCGATTATTCTAATAAACTGTATTTTCGAGCGGTTTAACATTTCTCTATGAATGTTTATATAGCAAATAGATATTCTTTGTCATTCCATTTTTAGAATATATCGACAGGAAAGTCATCTATGAGAATTTTTAAAGCAAAAGTTCCTCGAGAAGTTTGTTTTTAAACACGTTCTCGATTAGTCGGGCTCCCATGTTGACGTAACGTCGTGAACAGACCCAAATTTGTCCTGAATATACCAGATTCGCTTTCTGGGCCAGAGGCCATTGAACTGAGCTGGAAAATGGGCCACAGTGAAAGGCGTTCTGTGGGCCAGCTTTGGGGTTGACCTACATATCGTTGCTGGCAATAAATATACTACGATTTTTTTTTCTTTCTAAAAAATCGTTTTGTTTATTTATTTAAGTTTAAAAAATAGTCAGAGTGTCTTTTCAGGTGGAATATCCATTTTTAGTCTGTGTGTGTGTGTGTGTTTCTGTTGGCATCTTGGAAAATAAACGCCAATTGCATAAATTAACCCTAATTGGAAGATGATTTAAGTTCATTAATATGATAGAAAACTCGTTAAAAGTGTATCATCTCGAAAGAACTGGTTTTTCCTAGTCACACTTTGGACCTACATTCTTTCAATCTGCGAGTAGCCGCGAGGCACAACCTACTTTTTACTCTCCTTATAGTGAAAGTATTCGTATCTAGATCAGGATCAACCTTTGCTGTTCGCTGACCCTCCACATCGTCCTCTTTTCTTGTGCCCCAAAGATTAATGGTAAATGCTGCCATCTTGCGGAATTTTCTTAAAGGTGTAAATGACCCACTTTCGCTTTTCTTTCCTTTAACTTTTTTTTTTTTTTTTATTGACTAAATATTTTTAAAAGCGCGGTTTTTCATCTTAAAATAGAGCTTCGGGCTCGATGCCCACGGGTTTTTCTCTTTTAATTGTTTATGGTATTGTTGACGAAGAGAAAGAAATGTATCCCGCGGAGTGACTATTAAAGAAAAGATTATAAGTCACGTGGAATAAATGGAAGAAGACAACACGTGAATGCCTTATCACGTTGCTACGCCATCTCCTAGAGATCCCGCATGGAACTGAATAAACCCAGCGATTGGAGACGTCTCTACTTACGAAGGGTACCAGATCGAGTTTTTGATATATTTATACATTTCACCCTTCCGGTGCAGCTCGATGTCGACGCATGTTTCTTTGCGCAAGAGAACCTGGCAGCTAGTTGTTTTCAAGGTCGCTAGTTGTGTTGTGTCGAGTTGTGTATGTGCATGTGTGGGATGAGAATGACAAAACCGTGCACGCGCACGGTTGTACGCAGGAGGTAAAAGACGATATATAAATTTGATCAACCTCACCTCGTGACCGTTTGTCATGTGGGCCATATCAACGGGGATTGAACGTATCCTTCTTTTTTTTTTCTTTCTCTAAATGACTCGTGATGGGGTGGGATGGGTATCTGATCGAGTTTTATTTATTGATCTGTTTAAATCGTGGCGTAGCAATGCGGTAGTATATGAAAATGGCTGGCAATTCTCCAAGAACCAAGTACAAGGTCAACAAGCGTGGCTTCTGCTATGGATTCCCAGTCAGCTGTTCAGGCCAAGGACGCGGTAAGGAACGGTGTCATGGCTACTCAGTTGATGATCCTGCGATGAAACTAGGATTACTACCTTGAGGACGTCCGTCGATAGCAAAGGGGCTGGGAAACAGAATGGCGCTGTTGTCACTTTCCACAGACCTTGGCCTTGACCACTAGAGGGAGAGATGTGCAGGGTTGGCTGATTGTGTCAAACAAGTAGCCAAGTAGGGCACATAAATTTGCTCCGGTGGCACAAAGAAGAAACGGAACAGGACCTTTATGCGTGATTTCGAACTATGGCGAAAGTAAGATGCGAGCAGAAAGGTAAGATCCCGGCTGATAGGATTGAACTCTTTAAATAGGGCTTAGAAAACGCTTTCCATCGATTTAACGTTATAAATAACTGACGGCATCGCTACATTTTGTTATTTTTACCTGCGCGATTACCATATGTTGACATTGGCCGTGTCTTATCCCATCTCGGTTAATTAACATAATCCATATTAAGTTCGGCGAAAAGGTCATTTCGTATTGCTCCTCTAGCGACTACGTCGTGATTCGTTTCCAGACAACGTAAACAAATAACGACACAGTTAAAAGCTATTCCTTTTAACCCTTTGATAATATAAATATCTCATTATATTCGTACGCGGTATTTATTATATTTTTCTTTAATAAAGACCGCTACACTTTTTGTTATTGTTCGTTGTTTATGTTACCTGTTCGATGTTCAACCGTGACGTCACCGGTTTGATTTAGAACGCGTGCGAGCCAGATAAATCTTGCCAACGGTCTGAAAAAGATTCCGCTAGATGGGGTGAGTCAGTTTGGAGTTCTCCGTGCAATAGCGACCTCTGCTGATACTGGCCGTAAACAGGTCTCCGGTTGCTTGGAGCAATGAACGTAGTGATGTGGACTTGACCTACATCGCCACGTCGGTTACCATGACGACGACTTGGCAGCCAATATGGCGGGACGGGATGCGATCGATGGGAAATAAACGACTAAGGTCAAGAGAAAAATGATTATTTCTTGCGTATAGAAGCATCGTCAGAAGGGCAAAAATATATATAAAAATTCTCTACACTGTTTTTTTTAATTATTCTTTCCAGACGTAATAATCACTTTCTATGCGCGAAATAGAACAATCATTACAATTGTTTAATTATAATAAACTTAAGAAATTAAATAATCATGTACGAAGTAACAATATTTAGAAGAGGAAGACCGAGTTAACTTTTTCTTTTATCTTGTTTTTGAAAGAGGGGGAAATTCTTTTTCTTTTTATTCTTTACTAAAATTAGTAAGTTAACGACGAAATCGATTCTGTGAATATGGAAGAAGCTTATATTTTTATTAGGCGCTTTCTAATTCGAAATATTCCCAGTTGTGTGCGAGGGGGCACCGATGGGTCTGTAGCATCAAGGTCATTGACCGTTGGAAGGCAATGCCCTCTAGCGACGTTTTGCGGAAGTAGGTAGACGGTACAGTGTCATCGGGACGGTAGAAATTTGGTGATGAATGCGCATATTTACTTCCTGACTGTTGATCTCTCATTCAGTTCTGTTTTGTTTCCGTTTTTAACAAGTTCAGAACTTTTCCTGATACACACACGCAAACACACACACACATTTTTTATATATATATTTAATGCTGTTAAAATATGAGGTTTTTAGATTTGTGTCTCGATTTCTACACCAAGATTTTATATAATAAATCCGTTAATTTTAATGTTGTATGCCTCAGAACGAAAAAAAATATCGAAAAGAAGAAATTTCTTCTATTTATTTCGCTCGCTCCATATTAACTATTCCATTAAGAATTTCAAATTTAATAATTTGAAAAAAATAAAACAAAAACCGTGTGTTTTTAATTGTAGATATAAAATTTAAGTGATTAAAATATAGAAAAAAGAGCTTAATATTTCAGAAATTGCTATTATAGCGAAATAATTCTTGTTGATCGATTAGGTTAATGAACTCGAGGCACACAAATGGAGAATGGGTTCGGACCTTACTGACATTAGAGTGAAGAAGCGAAAGATATGACCGAACTTATGAGGCTATAACCTTTCCTTTTCTGCAGTTAAACAGACTGGGTGAGGAAGATTTCGGGTCAAATCGCGTATCAAGGTCTCTGCCAGTCGATAAGGGTCGATGACCGACAGAGGGGCCTTGATAGTGCGGCTATTCACATGTGAGACGGTGCATGGCATGTCACGTGATGGAGTACAGGTGTCAGAAATTTAAGTGAGGCACCTCGCAGGTTATCGATGAGAAAGATAAAAGAAAGAGTTAACCACGTAACCAATTTTAAACCGATTGGACATCGATTTTTCTTATTTTTGTCTCGATTTCCAAGGGTTATTAAGATGAATTCGAGTTCTGTGGGGGAATTCGACAACAGATAAAAATCGAATGTCGTTTAGAAAAACGCGTAGGGATAGCGTAGGGTTGGCAAAAATGGAGGATTTAGTTTTTCATACGAGGATGGGGAGAAAGTGGGAATTCGTGTTTGAACAAATGTCAAGTTCAACACGATGACAAAAAAATTCCGACAGGAAATGCATCACTAATATCCGACAAGGCTGGACAACTAAGGGACGGATGTGCGTGTATTTTGTCCCCCTCTTTCTACTTTCCGACCCACGAGCAGGTGGCTAAAGCTATTAAAAATTTTTTTTCTCACCCACTGGGAGCCCCACATAGAAATATTTTATCTACCTATAATAACCTCTCATATACTTAGTTCATCAGCTGTCTGTTTGATGACATCTTGGAAACTTTCTCCTAATGTACCTCTTTGTTCTCTCTTATAAATTAAAGCATATTTTTCTTCACTATTATTTATTATGCACTCGAATATTTCTGTATTATTTCATAAATTAGCTCGCAACAAGTTTGTTTTCGTTCGTATTAAAGTAGAATAAGAAGAAAGCATTTACTTGGCTGAAGCAAAGGAGTCAAATCCAGTTGTTTTCATTTCTCTTTTCATATCTTGTCGTGTGCTACAAACTTTACTAAATCATTCATAAATGAATATGGCAAATATGATTTTATTATGCAGAGATATCAATCAGAAACGAAGGCATTAATTATAAATTTCTAACTGAAAAAGGTTGAATAATTTTAGTATTAATGTCTAAAATGTTTTTGGAGAATTAGATCTTTACCATTCGGTCTTTATACGGTTTATATAACTACAATTTATACAATTTCAGGATATCAAGTGTTAAGTTTGATTATTTTACTTGGTATTTAATTTATTTTCATTCCAAACTTGCTATGTTTCTTGATTATTAATAATATTGGATAAAGCTAGGAATATGGAAACAGATTTTTAGTCAGGATATGTGGCAGCTGATATATTTAGTTCTAACCAAACCCAGTTCCTATATGATTAATGCTTTTAAGAAAATAGAATAATTATGTTTGTTCCAAATAAAGTATTGACCTCTGATCTATCTTCAGACAGGATGAGTGCTTTTCAAAATATCTTAGTCATTTTCAGATTTTCGGGTCATTTGAAAATTAGGATAGGGCTAGAATTTGTCGTTTCATCTCTACAGAGTTTACATTTATAAAAGATCTCATTCGGAAATAAAGCGTTAAAAATTAGGACCGCAAAAAATAATAATAAGTGAACGATTGCTAATTTAATTTTTCACAGGAGAGTACACTGGAGAGTTTTTTATTAACGAAAATATGATATGGGGATGGATTTCAGGCAGGAAAATTCACTCATTTAGTCCGGATGTTTTCACTTTCCCCCGCCTCACCCCTTTTTGGAAAGGGAACAGTTGGGAAAGGACAAAAGTTGCGGAAGGGACCAGGAAATACAAAACTGAATGGGGTGAGGGGTGGAAATTCTGAAAAGGTTGTTTACGTCAAGCAATATGTTTACGAATTCTCCATATAAGCCTATGGTGAATTTGGTATCCCCATCTGTTGGCTTATTTACAATTCTCGATTGTTTACTCAGATTTGTGAAAAATAAAAATTTTCAAAACCAATATAAAAGTATTTCGATGAATATCAAATAGTACGGCAAACTTTTTCCAGGTATTTCCATCGACTGAGCGAAGAAGTTGCGAATCAAATATCGGGTCATTGACCCCCTTAGTATCTCCTGGAAATGGGTAATCCGAATATCGAATTTTCAAAATATTTTATAGGGTGAACGATCGAAGATTAGAAAGAAGAGCTTTAACGCTTGGGGCCTTGTAAAATCAACTATTTATTTCATATAAAAACTCGTTAGCTTACAGACGAAGATAGCGAAAGTTTCGTCTGACCTTGTTGAAGAGGTTGATGACCGAATGTGCATGAACTCAGGTGCGTTTTGTTGATGCCCAGTGTTGTATTTCGTTTACTGAAGATCCAATTTTCTTATCACACAGACAGCTCATTTTTAACCACCGGAAAACCCAAGCTAACTATAAAACCTTTTCTGATAAGACTATATCCTATTTAGTTTTGTTTCGGGACTTTTACGGATGTTCTGGTTACTCTTAGTTAAGACATTTGTCTCGTAGAATGTAGCTTTGATAAATTTATTATTTTCTTAAATAAAACAAGTAGATAAGCCAGCAATTGCGATACGTAACTTAGCGAAAACAGATACAGAGAAGATGAGGATTTCCACAATTATAATCAACAGAAAAATGATTTTTAAACAGCGCTAGAAATGGGCAAATTGTTTATGGTAGATATTACTTAAATAGTTTATTACTTTTTTTTAGTGTAGCATCTCTCTTTCTCGATCTTTGCTACAGAATGATATAAATAGCTGATACAAAACTAGACAAGCGCAGAGTAAGAGGCAAGTCAGTTCAACAGATACGGAAGTAAAGAAAAGCGAGGTCGGGGTGAACAACCTGCCTAGATTGGAGTTATGTGAAAGTAGGTGATACAGGGGCTAGAAACAGGTTCGTTATGACGTAATTACGGGTGGATTTTTAAAACAAACAGAATATTGTGTTACAGAATGATGGCAAAATGAGGTCGGAGGTTACATTTTTTACACATTACGTCTTTCCATCTGATGAAAGTTACCGAAGTTTCTATTCAGATTTTTTTTAATTGTTACTATTTTCAGTGCTTGTGATCTCTTTACTTAATAGATTGAGTTCAAATTATACGCGATTCTCTAGCCAAATATCTTACGATTTATCATATTACAAAATAGTGTTCGAAAGTAGATACATTGCTTTAAAGCGGTAGAAGAATAAATAAACATTGATTTTTCCTGCTGTAAGACGATAAAGAGGAGAAATTTCCATTTGAGTATTGTGAATTTATCCGCATACAAATGAACGTAAATTATCGTAATTTTTGTAAATTAAAAAAAATACTTGTTCGTGCCCATTTACTAAGTATATTTTCGACCTCTCTTGACCCATGACATCATCAATCGATGAAACTGTTTGCGAGTTAGTCGAGAATCGATCTTTCTAGAGACTCGCACTCCTATTGGGTCAACGTCCTGAACTTCGGAGGTGTATAGGTTATCTAACAGTGGGCACAGGTGTTAATTGACGTTTTTTAATATCTAGTTATTATAGATAACAAATAGGTAATGCACGTAAACGTTTTATTAAAATAAATTAGAGAATGGTAGGCTAATCACCTTACGGGATGGTCGGTTAAAGAATTTTCGGTTCAGTTTTGCTATTAAGCAGCTGAGGTTATCTACCTGATAGTAACACACTTTCTCTCTAAGTCATCGTCCGCCATTGACCTTGTCTGTCCCGACTTGTCAAACCTGCTTGTATCGTCGGCACTACAAGCATCAAGGGCACTGTTGCTTGCATCAACGAGATACTTTAGTAAGAGGTCTTTCAACTCCAGACTAGCTCTACTACATACCTACAACTTCTGGCCATGACCGGGTGAAGAGATATCAAAACACTCTCATCTCTCACTCTGGAAACCCACGCAGCTGTTATTTATTTATTTTTTTTTATATAAACATCTGCGGAAGGGATACAACTCCCCGAAATTCCGTTTGGAGAAAAGACCCCTTCCGTGTTGAGGGAGGGGGTTGTTTATTTCGTTTCCGTAAAAGGGAGAGGGGATCACTTTTCCTTTTCAATGCCAGGTGATAGACGGCAGCTGGACCAAAAAGCAGGAACCGATGATATTTTCCGGTTGTCATAGTCATAGGATAGATTCATCCCGGTCCTGTGATGAAATGGGTAGTCAGGCAATGAGTCAAGGACCGGAGGATGGCCTCAGTTCAATGACCAGTCTCTCAAACCGAGTGAAAGTAAAGTATTACAATGACCTGTGTGAAGTTACCTCTTCCGATCGGCTTCTATTCCCTCTCCCTCGTGTCCAAAGAAAGTGCTAACCTCTTCAATTACCTCTTCTCCATTGAATAGATATAACCATTCAATTTTCTCGTAAATTTTTCCCCTCAACGCTCTTTAGCTAAATATTAAATTTTGATAGACTCTCGTAGTAACTCTCTTGTTAAATTTATTACATTGTAGTAGAAGCCAGTCCGTTAAAAAGAGATTTATAGCTAATAAGGCACAAATAGGAGAATCAATATAAAAGCGTCAACATGTTTATTGGCGATTTTTCTGTTCTCTTTTCCGATCTACTTTCTCCCTTAATGAATTAAAAAATCATTAAGAGGAAAATAGATCGGAAAAGCGAATTTAACATGTATTTTCTAGATTAAAAACTCTCGATTCACAGGACATCTCAATTGAGGACATTCAATAAAATCACGTGCCGTTCTAAAATGGGACAAGCATCACGAGAAATCTCACGTGTCCTTTATAGGGAAGGAAGTAAAGGATAATGCTATAAAAACCAGCAAGGAAAAGTTAATTTGCCCTTGAAATTCGTCCAATGACCCACGTGTGGATGCAAAGATGGCAAACGATAGTAATTAAAACTGGTTAAAGTTATATACTTCCTGTATTTAGCTGCGCCCTTTATATACGTGGAGATTTAGTAAACAATACAAGGTCGCAGTCAGACGATGACCGCGCCTGGGTCATCGTAACACTTTCACTCGGACCATATAACGGAGGTGAAAGGTGGTCGATGACCCCGGCTTCAGATTTTGAACCGGAAGAGAATCAAATTATATGCTTTTAATTACATAATGTAATAGAACGTCGACGCCCTCGAAACAAGTCAGGTTAACTTCACTGTTATCCGTTTTTAATGTCTTTTCGATGCCAAAACAATATTACTTCATAGCTCTTAACAGATATGCCCTTGTGCCCAGTAAGCTTTTCGATTGTTTACAGAATGAGATATAGGAAGAGCATTGCGAAGGAGTTCGTTGACTCACTATTCTTCAGTCGGTTCATTCACATGGTAACTATGGCGATCGCCAGCTTTCGGGGGTAGAAAATGGGGTAGAGGCAGACCGATCGATATACAGAGTTACACCTGAAACGTCCATTACTATTCCGAGCATTCTTAAAAATCTTATAAAGAGCAATGAAAGTTTTTACTCTTATTTTTAGTATGTTGAATGTACGAGGACGTTGCCCCGAATCACGTGAAGTATCGAATCGATACATCACTTCCCAATATCGTGTGGCCATGAAAACATCATACGGAGGGTGGGTAGAAGGGTTGTTGACATCGTTGTCGCACTGGAAAGCTGAAGTGGGCAGGGGCAGCTTGCCAATCTGTTTATTGCTGCGACGCCACAAGCAGAGTGCGTTGACCCACATATCCGAGGAATGCTATAGCAACGGGCGATGTCACTGCACCCTGACAAATCTTAATATCGATTGATACTCTGTTAAAGTTGTCTTCGTACTGTTTTCTATATTTAGCGCCCACCAGAATTGATATGGCGTGAACAGCATTTACCTTGAATATCGAGCAACCTTTTGATACTACACCTAGCCTATACCAAAATATATTCTTTTCTCTTTTATTTTTACAAGCTATTAACGTATCTCTGTGCCAGATGATGTTTTTTTGCTCGTGCGGGATAGAACTTTTATATATTTAGTAAAATTAAGCTGTCTGGAAGAAATATTTGGCGTTTTTAACGAATTAAATCTCCGTTTGTAGTCGTATGGATGAAAAAAGCCAGCCGGGTTAGTACACTACATGAGTCAAGGTCAAGAGAGAGAGAAGAGGCGACTCTGGGTTGGTTCATCGTTATGTCCTTGGAAGGGTAAATTGAGGGGTCAGAGGAAAACGACTTCTTTACCTTGACCTTGACGTTCCGACCGGAGGCTATAAAAAACCGAAGGAGGTCACAAAAATTTTGGCAGTGGTGCGCTTCGAATCCAAACTGACCCTCACTTTCCACTAAAAAGTGTAAAATTGTCCCCTTTGACCTCTAATTCACCCCGAAAGATATTTGTCCGACTGCTCGACCAATTTGTTTGTTGGGAATTTCCGCGTGGCGGGTTGCCCATTGTCCGGCGCTGACCCTTCACCCCGGACCCCTTTCCCCGAAGGAGGGAAAACTTCCTGTTTGTGAAAGTGGTAAACACTTTTGACACAAAAACATATTTAGTACGCGTATAATTAGCGATTTCGGACGGGGCCGCGATTTCTTGGAAGGCAGAGGAGACCGAATGACCATTAGTAAAACAAACAGCGGTTCTATGAAGAGAGTGCGTTGACACTAACAGCCGTGCACTTCGTTATCGATCTTATACGCCATACGACTTCGCACAGGGTCGAACTAGACGCGCAAAGGCAGAGGTGAACGGCTCCCTAGTTACATGACACACTGGCAAACTGTATCAGCCTATACACGTGGTCGGGTATCGGTCAGTGAACCCTCTTCAGACCAGACGTTTTGGGGAGGAGCCAAGCCAAAGCTCGACCAATAAACGAATAGAGAAGAGTGTCGTCACGCGGCACCACCGATCCGCCATTGGTCGGATCGGCCTCTCCTATCCGGTGGATGGACGACATGGAAAATAATCACAAAATAATAAACGTGAACTTGTCCGGTGGTAGGGAAAATGCCCTGCTTTCTCTGTGGCCTACGAAACAATCCACGATAGGACCGGTTTTCTAGGCTTTATCCGCTTCACCTGACTGCAGCCAACTTCGACTAAACAGGCAGTCAGTCTACTTTCACTGTCATTCGGGACCTTGAAACTGACTTGGAGAGTTGTAGCTTTGCCTTCCCGTTTTTGATAGCGTTGCTGTTGGTGTTGTTACTTAACTATATACATAGGATTAAATGTGTTGAAGGTTCGGATTTTATTCTGACATTATGATTCTCAGCGAAAAAGACCTTCAGCTTCTAAATTCGCTGCCTCCTTCGGAGCAGGATTCGGATAAGAAGGACATTGATTTGAAAATAGGTAAATTTTTGCTCTCTTCTCTATCCCTCTCCCTTTTTTTCCTTGTGTTTTTTAATAGCAGATTCCAAGGTTGCCAATCTCTATCGGATTTTGTTTACCGATTATTAACGTCGAAAGTCCAAAGATTTTTCTAAGTGCGTTAACCTGCACTGATAACTTGCTCGAGAGGGGCATTGACCCATCGGGCCGATGCCTGTTTTTTTATATTTGTATATGTTTTTTGTAGTAATATTAAAAGGTCAAGGTTATTATATGTATTTTAATATTTTACAAATATTTTTCTCTTTGCAGAATTTGATGGTACAACAGTTTTGTGTCGTGTCTGTGGTGATAAAGCCAGTGGATTTCATTATGGTGTCCATTCTTGTGAGGGGTGCAAGGTCAGTAACCTTTGACCTTTAATTAAAAAATTATTTTAACGTATATTACGGTCTTGCTTATCTATCTGGTATTAAAATCTAAACGATTTAAAGATAAGGCGTATTTAGTTTACCCAATTGTCATATTCGCATGTGATGAAAAATCGGAGAAAATATTGTGAAGCTGTAGTTTCAAAAAGCGTGCCCGTCTCTGTCTATCGATTAAAAGGACCCGATGGCCAAATCCGAAAGGTCGGGAAAAAAGCGCTTTCTCGTACGCGTTCTCCTAAACCGGGTAGGATTCGCGGAATCGGCCACCCTCTAATTATCTTATTGGTTTGTTTATGATGGTTACCAAAGCAACGTGTAGAACAGGTGCATGCAAGTAGATCCTGGAACCAATCAGGAGAGCAGATCCCATTTAGTCATTCGCCCTTGAAATAGTCCGTCAATGAACATAGGTGAATGACCGCAACAGGTTCTTGGCAAGTTTCCAGGGACGAGACGGGTTCAATGACCATCGGAACTCCGCCGCTTCCATCATCTCACCTTGTGCTACATTTCCTAACCATACCTATAACCACACTTCCCTGAATTCGAGGTATACATTTTGCATCGGGTCGTTGAACCGCAATTAAATCACGTGACTACGAAAGTGATTGGTCGGGAGAGTTCGCGGCAGCATTTTTCAAGTTCAAGGGTAAAGGGGTTGAATGACCGAATGGCCTGCACTGCCAGGAATCTTGTTTACAATTGCGTAAGACACCGGACATGAGCCAGCTCCTCTGCGAATATTCCGTAACGTAAGAGCATATTACCGCTGGCTGTGCGATATTTGCAATCGTTATTAGCCTTGTTTTGAGTAGTGCGAGTTTAGAGAAGACTCGGGCATTCTCTAAAACGTCGCGGATTTTTCCAGGTTTGTTTAGCTTTATTATGTAATTTGCCGATTATCTCGAAAATCGAGCCATTTTTATTTGTTAATTTTTATATTTAGTCATTTTGCAATTAAATTAGGATTTGTTACGTTAATTTAGAAAAGTGGAGATTGTATAATCGTACGATAAATATTACGACGCGTTGCGATTGGTTAAAACTCATTCAATCATCGTCAAATCAACCAATGACGACGTCACCTGAAAACCCGCTTGCAGATGTCAGTGGCAGCCAATGAAATGACGACACCCGTACATAGTTCGCGGCATATTTCTAGAGAGTTCAACGTCTTCTATTGACCTAACTTTTCAGGCCATCGAGGTCAATGAACTCTCCAACTAAGTCATCTATGGAGGCAGTTTTTTCATCACGTTTTTGAGCACGAGAGTCGCACTTGCCTGACTGGTGGGGGGGAAGCTTCGGCTGAACTTGAATGCTGCCTTGTGGCTTGTGACGTCAGTGCACCACTTTTACTTTCGTTGGAAACTGTGTCATCCTGTCCGGTCATCGACCCCAACCGGGGGCCGGGTAAGCGGCGCATGCGCATCTAGTTACGTAATGGTTTACCCATAATGAATCCGTCCTGGTGAAAACTGGTAAACAAGGCGGTGTATGACCTAAATAGTTGTTTTATTCCGTTTAGTTTCCTAAAGTGCTCCGATCGAGTCGGAAGTACCTTTTAAATAATGGTCGTTTCTTTAGTTGATAAGGCCGCTTTAACCAATAACTTGTGTAAAGTTATAGAAGATCATTTTATGCGTATTATGCAGGGTTTCTTCCGAAGAAGCATCCAACAGAAGATACAGTACAGACCGTGTACCAAAAACCAACAATGTTCGATCCTTAGGATAAACAGGAATCGATGCCAATATTGCCGACTTAAGAAGTGTATAGCAGTGGGAATGTCCAGAGACGGTGAGTAAAAATAGTCAATTTTTCTCCTATAATCCCAGCAAAACCGTTAAATGTAGCATCTTCCGTTGTATGGGTGTGTTGTAGGGTTCAATGACCGGCCACCCTAAGTCGGACATGTTGAATTGCATAAGTGCTACCTAATGCTTCTACCCTGTTGATACGTCTCCGGTTTTATAACTTTTACAATCGTTTTCTTTTATATTATTTATTTAAAACTTTAATTTTCACTATTAAAATTCGAAATATTAAATATATATTAGAAATATAATAGCAAAATGAATGTATTAATGGTAGATGTTAATAGAGCATAACGGGTCAGGAGAGTCGGTGATGTTGAAACTTGCGACTAAAAATAAGACTATCTTTAGTTGTAGTTATTCTTCATCTCTGCAAAAGTTAACTCTCCTGTGTACCGAGATTTTTTCAAATTAGCTGCTTCGGTCGTGGGCGAAGCAATTACACTTGCGTCATCGGTGGTGTTAAAATTTTAATGGCTATTCCGGGTCATATACTAGGAAGAGCTGACTCGATATATTTAGAGAGCCTCGCCATTTTTAATCATAGCGTTACCCGGAATTCGGTGATGGCGACGACTTTCTTCGCAAAGTACAGTACAATCGGGTTATTAATTGCTTGGAATGCGCCTTAATGTAATATTTTAGTGGCATTGACGGTTGACATTTTGCTCCACTAGATGGCAGACTTTCACCTTGCAAAAGAGCCATTTACTTCCTGGCATTCCTCCCCCGAGCGGTCCCCCGTTGTTTACGTTCTCTGTTCAAGGTCACCATTTGACTGGAAGCTAGCGTAGGCGCTTTTCCTGCAGCGCATACGCCGGTTGCATCATACCTATCAGGAAATCCTGCGTACGTGGCTGGCTCGGTACATTTGCGTCTGATATGGACGATGGCAAAACTATCGATCCGTCTGGAATAAAACTCGTGTCTTCTAATGCGTTCGTAGCTCGTTAGGTGGCAGCACAGTCCGAAAGGGGGTAACTGGGTCGTGGGGAGTGAGAAACAAGTTCAAGGCTACGCAGTTCTATGTTCGTCGGTGACGCAGTTGGCCATCATGTGACCGTCTCCGAGCTTGTTTATCATCCATAAACTACTTTCACCCCGCATTCTGTGGAAGACAAGCGCAATGACCAGTATTCTAAGCAGGTTATTAACGCGCCGAACGAATACCCAACCCGGACGGAAGGTTGTTAGAAATGAAACTTGTAAGATACGGTTACGGTAAGAAACATAGAATTTTGAAACCGGGAAACGAAAACTAATCCGCTTTCGTTTTATTACAGCCGTACGTTTCGGACGTGTACCTAAGAGGGAGAAGGCTAAAATATTGGCTGCTATGCAAAAAGTCAACGCCTGTTCGCAGGAGAAGGCTCTCAATGCCGAACTGGAGGACGAAATGAAGCTCTTGACGATGATCGTTACCGCTCACGAGGAAACATGCGATTACACTCGTGACAAAGTGGCCACCCTGGTGGAAAGAGCTCAATCCAAACCCATCTACACTCATTGTCCTCCTCATTTGGTAAGTATCTACGCCGTTTAATAATATATTCACTCGGGCAAAGTTCTCGTTTATTTCGATAGTTTCGAATTTCCCAGGAATGTGACTTACTTAATTATCTCGAGTACGTAATAAACATAACCTTGACGCATCCCTGAAAATGTAGTGAAAGTGCAAGGTCACTCCGTTATCCGATATAGGATCGATTATGTACCGGTACAGGTATTGACCTTGATTTAAAGAAGGGGAAAAATATCGTTCTCGGATTCTGCGCTACGAAGGAAGTTGTGAAATCTGTATTCTAGATATGGCAGAAGAAACTTTATTTTTTGCGGTTTATCGTATTCGCCCGCGCAATAGAAATAACTAGATTATCAATGATATCTTTCGATTGTAAACAGGGTGACCTTGCATTCAAAGTCAACGGTTCACCTGTTTTCTAAGTGCTTTTTATTACTTGTTGTTTATGCCATTGGTGAAAACGTACGATGACATATGTGGGTCAAGGACGGTATTAACTGACCATTGTTTTTGTTCCCTGTTAGGCATGCCCGTTGAATCCCGCACCACATCCTCTCGATAATGGAGGCGGTTCAAGAATTATGGAAGATTTTTCGGAACGTTTCTCACCAGCCATTCGAGGTGTTGTGGAGTTTGCCAAGCGTCTGCCCGGTTTCAGTTTGTTGGCGCAAGACGATCAAGTTACTTTGTTAAAGGTTTGTTTTTGTCCTTGATCCTTATTTGTTGATTCACGCTATTTTGTAGTCATCATTCGTGGAATTCGTAATTCTCATAAGTCTATATCCGTCTTTTCATTCCAGGCTGGCGTCTTCGAGGTTCTTTTAGTGAGATTGGCTTGTATGTTCAATTCGGAAGCTAATTCTCTAATCTGTCTTAACGGTCAAGTGTTGCGAAGAGAAGCTCTGCATTCTGCTAGCAATGCCCGTTTTCTTCTGGATTCTATGTTTGACTTTGCCGAACGTTTGAACAGTCTCCAGTTATCTGATAGTGAATTGGGACTCTTCTGCGCCGTGGTTGTTATCGCAGCTGGTAAGTAGTGACATTTTACCTCACACTGTCCCAATGTACAGTGTATGAATAAGCTGATCTCTTTACTCTTATTTAACAGATCGACCAGGCTTAAGAAACGTAGATTTAGTTCAGAAAATTCAGAAAAAGCTAACCGACATTTTACAGAAAGCAATCATCAGTAAACATCCTCATAATCCATCTATATTTAACGAACTGATGAAAAAGATTCCAGATCTTCGTACTCTCAACACATTACACTCAGAAAAACTTTTAGCTTACAAAATGGAACCAAGAAATACTTCTGCTACAGCTACTAGCCCTAGCACCTATCCGGATATCCAAGATGCTTGGAGCCAGTACTCGGCTATGGTGGTATCTCAAGAACATCAGTTAGAAGATAATCGATGTGCCTCACCAGGCCAACAAAGTCAACACAGTGGTAGCACAGCTTGCAGTGAGTGGAGCACCTCAGATTCCAAAGACGAACACGATCCTTTTGGCAGTCCCCAATCTGTCGGAAGTGGTATGTCCACAGATGAGGTCAAGAGTCCCATTAGATCATCATCTTTCTCTAGCAGCAGAAGTTTTGATACTGATAGTGTTTGGCCTGGCGAAATGGTTCAACCTACCGAAAATCAACAATCTGTTAAAAGAACGCGTGAAACCAATGGAGTCGAACATGGATGCAGTTCCGGGGACGAGTGCTATTATAGTGAGAGCCCTATGAAAGGCTCTGGATATACAAAAATCCGCCGTGTCGATTCTCCTACAGACTCTGGTATTGAAAGTGGTAAGGAACACGGGCACAGTACCACACCTACGACATCAGTATGTTCTAGTCCTAGATCGGCTTTGGAAGAAAAAGTAAAAGACTTTCTAGATTCCGATAATGTAGAGAAACACGATAGCACAGAAGACATGCCAGTTCTAAAGAGGGCTCTCCAAGCACCACCACTGATTAATACAAATATGTTAATGGATGAAGCATATCGCAATCATAAAAAATTCAGGGCAGCCAGGAGGGAATCGGAAAGCCCATCGAGCCCCACCATCGCCAACATGTCGTTGGCTAGCACCCACAGCACTTTGGTGAAAACATTAGAACAAGCACCGCGTTATATGAGCGAACAACAATTGAAAAGAACTGATCTCATTCATAATATCATCATGAGAACGGAATCAGTCCCGCAAGAAGGTTCATCAAACAATCAGGTAAACAAATGCCCTCCCGGTTTCTACATTCCACATAGCAATGCACCAAACTACTGTGCCACTTCCGTCTCCTGGCCCATGGTAAATGGTCAATCCAACGGTAACGTACAGGTTCGTCCCAATTTTATGAGTCTTGATATTCCTCAAGGAGTGACAACTGCAAGCTGTCCGTCTTCGCAGTCGGTCCAATCTCGTATCCTGTATGAGCATCGTTCTCCTCCACCATCAACCAACCTAGTCATCCCTCCTACATCACCCACAGGAAATCAAATGGAAGTTCGTATACCTTCCAACCCTTCGCCCGCACCGCAAGCAAACTTCACCGAAATGATGGACGCTCAACCTTTGAACCTATCCAAAAAATCGTGAGTCTAAACAAGAACTTTCTTTGGGACTCCCGATGATAACGACGTACAGATCCATCGATCCTAATGTCAGTCGCGTGCTCTTGCGAACTCCAAACGTCTCGAGACCGAGCACCACCAATACCAATCACCAACCACCACCCATTTGTTGTAAATAGTTACGTTTTCCGTTTTTTGTACCTTAGCATTGTAAAATGTTTTACGGAGGCTGATGGATACCAGCTTCATCTGGTGATTGTACAAAGTGCTAAAAATAGAGTTCAAATGGGAATGGAGAACGGGACGTTAAGTAGGTATCTGATTGTAAATATTTCCTTTTCATCCTAGTATAATATCAGAAAAAATATTACTGAAAAATATATATATATATATATAAATATATATAAAAAATCATTAACTTAAAACGAAGAGTGAGAAGAGTGCAAGAATCCCAAAACCTCCTTTTCCCTTTCTTCCATTATGTGATGTATTATTATGTTCAGTGTTCCATCAGCAGTATTATATGGATCGCTGTTGTGTAGTACATATTTGTCTTTGTACTTCTGTTCATTGGAAATTCATTATTTAACTTAGTGTACAGTGTCTGGTGTTGTGATCGTGTATCGAATTCGTGTTCTTGCAATAATAAAGATTTTTTTCTTGGAATGGCGTATTCTTTATTTAATCGTCTACCTCTACCCTACTAAATCGAATCAGCCCGAAACGTCTACACTGTCTGTAGGCCTTCTGCAACTGCGCTTTATGGAAAATTCCGAGTAAAAACAATCGATTTTGACATTAAAAATTCCATCGATTATATCAACTATTTTAATTACGTTACAAATGAGATTTGATTAAAAATGTCGGATAGAATTCTCGTTTAATTCAACTTGACCTTTTCAACTTTGAGCTTGAAAACATTGCGTAAAGTCTAGTTACTATAGTAACCGCGATTATCGACGTCAATTTGGAAATTTCAGTTTGTTAAAGAAATTCCTCGAATTTCCTAATAAAATATGGAGATTCGTCATTTGGCAATTACGCGAATTTAAAATCCACCTCAACTATGGAAATTTTGGCCAAACGTTTATTAACGCTATCGGTATTCGAAATATTTTACGAACATTATCGTTCTTTAATTACGTAAATTTCAAGTACTGTACAGTAAATACGCAATTACGTTTCAGGGTCGCCAGACATATTGAATTCCCGGTAATTATAACAACACAGAAGCGCGAGAATCGATTAACAGGTAATTTTATTAATAAAAAAATAATAATAATTCCGGCAATTTAAACCATGCCAATTCTACTTTCCAGTCACTGGAGAAGGGGCATATTGGCTTTTAGCCTGTTTAACACCCCAGCCAAAAAAGCGAATAACCAATAAATTCGTTCCCCCTTCTGGCTTATTGCCCTGTACATTTTGGTCCAACCTCATCGATTAACCGAGTCGACAAAGAAGTCACGTGTACTACACCCTCTCTGACATCATCACGTAGCGAAGCGGCGAAGGACGTTTATCAGGAGTAATTCTCACTGCCACCGTCAACACTTCAAGGTCTGCCGGATATTTATCTGTCGAGAACATCGCATCAACAACTTTACTTCAATATTAAGTAAATATATTGCCATCAGGATAACAGATAAAATATTAAAAGCATTGCTTTTTTTTTATTATTATTATTTATTTTTTTCCAGTCGCCAACAGATAAACGGCTGTGTCTATAAATAAACCAGTCACACGGAGCTAGGCTTCTGGTTAATTAAATGGCGAAATTCAATCGAGTTGCGAAAACCTCGATTCCGACCGAATTCCACAATTTAAGGCGGTTTACGTAATTTCGAACGGGGACCCCTACCGGTGAAAAACGATTAAATTGAAAATTTAATCCAAATTATGTCACGCGATCATCTATAAAATGGTTAATTATTCATATCATACCCAATTAATTTTAGACGGACAAATTAAATATTTTTGGTAACGTATACGAGTATAAATACGTTCGTACAATAAAAGTAGAAAATGAAACTTTAGCGCAATTATGGCTCCGGGATACCGATTAAAAGTTTCGACAGATTAATGAGAAATTTTATTATTTACGTTAAATTCAATTTTTTTTTAAAAAATCATTAACGAATAGAAACGGAACGTAAATTCTTTATAATTTACATAAAATAGTGTTTAAAAATATAAAGTTAAATTTAACTCGAAATGATTTCAATTTTAAGAATTAAAATGGAAACGATTTAAATAGTATCGTTTCTCCTTACTGGTGTTTTTGAAAGAAACAAAACGGCGTTGTTTTTTAATTCGCGAATTTCACCTTGAAATTTTGTTTTAAATTCCAAATTACGTCAATCGATAATTAAGTTTATCGCGTATAGATGGCGTACGAATTTTCTGGCGAAAAGCCAATATGGCGTGAAATATTTTTTTCTCCCTGACCTCTGTTAAAACCTCGAAGTCTTTCGAGATGTCAAGGTCAGAGAAGAATAATTATTCTTTTTTTTTCTATCTATTTTTCGATAAGAAAATATCTTCTTCCGTAAACATTTCCATAACAGTACATCCGAAAATCTTTAATTTCGCGATATATTTAAACAAAAAAAAAAAAAAAATTATATCAAAAACCAAATTAGATTAAAACTGTAAATATTTTTTTTAAATGTCGGTAGATCAGGATATATACATAAAGATTGTGTAACCGATTGCCTCATTGTAACCTTGAAATTTATCCTTTAAACTTTTATTTTTATCATAGTTAGATGGATTCGGTAACGGTGATTCAACATGGAAAATACTTCGATATTCTGTCCAGAAAAATATTATTTCTCGAGAATTTTGACCTCTTTGATTCAGTCAACGAACTATGAGGCCTTAGAGGGTGTATATGGGGTCAGCGAACTGACGACAGTTAGGACACTGGACAAGACGAACAAAGGTTAAACTCGGCGGATATTATTTACCGCGTATCTTTAAGCACAAAAACCGAAATTTCGGTTATTATTTATCGAAGTTTTCTCAAATATTTCCTTTTTCCTAAAAGTTAATTCAGATATATAAGAATTTATATCTCTAACGGAATTAATTAAGACGAGACGTATTGATTTTTATGGAATATTTTTATAGGGCCAATCCGTAGAAACGGATTGAAATGAAAATTTCGGCATTTCCAGGCCTCTCCAGAATGGGTGCATTGCACCTGTTGAAGAAATGTGCTGCAACAATCTATAATATAAAGCATTTTAACGGCTATCGATTAAAAAGTTAACAATAATCTGTTGCAGATAATATAATGTAATAAAATAATGCAACTGCACGTGTATTGCCATACGGTATTAAAAAAGCACGTGTTCAATTTTATGGATTTTGATTAATTATTGTTTTAATAGACAAAAGCGAATGGAAGTTATTAAATTTCACAACGACTCGATTTGATACGAATTGGCCGTTTAATATTTATATACTTGGTATACTTATGAGGATTTTATTTTAAGAAACATTATATGACGTAATCTCTCACGAAATTCGCACCAAGAGAATAAGAGGGGGGTAACTTTTACTGGTCTAATGATCATCATTAGAGAGGCACATCACCTCGACAGAGGCAGCTGAGAAATATTAAAGATCATTCCATTTCTATAAAGACAGGTGTTAAGCTATAGTTTTACGATCATTTCGCTGTATTAACGAAATAAATAAAACTATTACGAAGAATATTCGTATCACAATTATTTTTTTTTTTTCGTTCCTTTTATGCAACTGCGGCCCAGACTGCATTTACTGCGTTCTATTCTATGCTAGATACAAATTTCGGGTCTTTCTCTATATTAGGGCCTATATGCCCTAGTATGCACCGGGTTTGCATACTATTTATAAATTCTGGCACAGAACCAAATTAGTCCACTTCGGCCCCAATTCTCTCATAACGTGTTGCGAAATTTTTAAATCACTTTCGCTTTGAAGATTTATTAATGGGCCATTTATGTTAGCCGATTATTAATTTAATAACAGAGACGGTTACGAAATTTTACAGCGAAAAAAAAAAAAATAGTAAATAAAATAAAAAGCAGTCTATGAATAATATAAATCCTCGACGATGTTATTATTTAATTATAAAGCTATTTAATATTCGCAAAGAAACTCTTATTATATAACATGTTATAACTTAAATGTCAGTTATACAAGTGGAAATTATCGTTATCGAATTGATCGTCTACTAGGATTTGACGTCACGTGACTGGACCCGTTTAAAAAATTCGTATTTATTTATTTAAACGATAGCGAACATTAATATAGATTATTAGATATAAACCAATTAAATATTTGTCAATGACGTCATACGATATAAAATACTGTATTAATTATAAAAACATTTTAATACTATTTTTATGTTTATGTAATAGAAATTTACGTTTCTAAATGTGAAAATTTTTGTATACCGTACTTTAAAATTTAAATAATAATAATAATAATGTTATTTATTATAACGTAATAATTAAAATAAAGGAAAAATTGTAACATTCTGTTTTAAAACCTGCTAATTTACAACAAATAAGCGGATAAAAATTTAAATAATTTAATATTGGAAAATCGCTTATTATTATTATTATTAAAGATAAATTATTACAAGTTATGTAATTTTTATATTTTTAAAACATTTCTTTTTACAATTATCATCCATTTGTATATTAATTAATTCGGAACATAATAAAGATAATAAGAAAATATTTTAAATATTTAAATACAGTATGATTTTGAATATTTATCGATCGCATTTTTCATTTGAGATTGTGTGATTTAAAATTTGAAATATTCGAAAGGTTAGACTAAGATTTTACGATAAACTTTCGACTTAATATTCAAAATACAATTAGGATTATTACAGAGAGTTGGAACGAGAAAGTAATTAGCAAATATTAAAAATCCGTTAATGCGGGACGGAAATCAGAAAGATGGGGAGATAAAAACGGAGAAAGATGGAATAAGTCTAAACAATATATCATTTAATAGCATCCTGTACACGAATCGTTTGTGTCAGCCCCAAATATTGGCCTCACAGCTGTCCAGGTGAATGACCTGTATTAACGTCCTGTTTTACCGTGAGTGCGCATTGTTTTCCTTGATTGTAGAGCACATCAGTATATTAACTATTTTAATGTTTTCTCCCCAGATGCTTTTTGTATCTTTTTCAATACCCATTTTTTTCTAATCTTCGTTCCCGAAAATTTATCGTAGATGCTTCTAACAACGGAAGATGGCGCTAAATTGGAGTTCAAATTAGGGCACGTGACAACACGTGACGCAGCGTGTTTCCAGATAATCGAAAACTGTACACCGCAACGTCATTGTTTTACTCATCACATGACCGGCGTAATACAGAAAACCTTACTCATCAATAATGTCGAGCAACACATGACTAACAAATAAAAGATCCTTTAATCGAAAATAATGAGTTTAATATGTACATCTCGGTTCACATTTGATTTATTCGAAACGCATATAAGCAATGTAATTAACAAAATAAAATGTTTGATAAATGCTTTAGAAGCTTATATATAAATTTTTAAATACGTAAAAGTGACGACCGTCTTATACAAATTTGTTACAAATTCCTCAACGGCTACTTCTGTTAAGTCCATTTAACATTTCCTTGCCGTCATATAAATTAGTAACTACATTCTCAATCTTTCGTAATTATTTTTGTATTCGACCTTTACCAATTATTATTATTAAATTCTATATAACATATGCAGCGGTTATGAGAATAGGAATGCGGTCATTCTGGCTAATGCATCTAACGAGTAACAAAAAAGAGAGGGGAAAAATAAGCAAAAGTCGCTACAATTATCCGCAAAAGAATGATTCTTGGAGGAAATATATTGACCTATCAATAAATAAAATACTGAACAGAAATGGTTTAATTCATCTAATTGACTAACAAGCTTAAGGAAAACGAGATATGTTAACCGAAGAAAAATAGTCGATTCCGCAATATTGACAGATGTCGGAAACATGACTCAAAAATGTTATTGCAAATTTCGGTAATGACGTCAGTATTTCGAAATCTTGTAGGCGTGTTACTGCACTATCGTAAAGGTGACTTTTATTAGGCCAAATCGAAAGATGTTTTATATACACACGTCCCGAAATACGCAATAAAACGTGCTAATGGCCGACGTCTCGATTTTACCGGTGTCGCCATCTAACAGAGATGATTGTAACTGATCATAAATAATTTAATAAAAAAATTTCACAACTAACTACATAAGCATTTTTCTTTTATTAATTCTACAAATACCACAGAAATAATTTTTCTTTTCTAATCTAAAAACTTTGATCAATCTGTCAACAATATTCATGGAAAAATCAATAATAATAATAATAATAATAACAATAATAATAATTTCACAGGATGATACTTTTCCAAAAAACACTATTTTAATAGAGGCTGATTATAAAAGTAATTTTGTTTACAATCAATCCTTGGTTACAGAATGATTGCTTTTAGTATGCTACGAAAACAGACATTGTTCTTACATCTTTGTCTGTTTTGCATCATGCACATAATATATATTTAGACAATTAGCACTAAGTACTCAAATACCTGATGAAGATAAGAGATTAATAAAGTGTGAGCTGATTTGCTATTGTTTTATTAGAATTGAAGAAACTAGTGTTTATCCTGTTTGAATTTACAGAAATAAAATCAAATAGTGATACATAATATTATATATTTTGATAATTTAAACTTGAATAATTATGCAATTTAACTAATTATAAACTTTATGAATAGGAATGTTTATGTTCATGTCTTTTAGTTTGTATTAAACTGGCAATAAGCTGTATGTCGATGCAAGTACCAATTGTTATCGTGAATGGTTACCAGTTCTCCGACTACGTCTTCCATGTTTCCGTTGTGTTTGATAAGGAGATGATGATTGAGGGCTCTATTGCTGAATCCCATTTCAATCAATTGGTTCATGGCCGAAGGAGGTGGAGGAGGAGGAGGAGGAGGAGGAGGAGGAGATGATGGTCTTGGGTTTTCTTGGTTAGACTAAATACGTATAGATACGGAACATAACATTATTCGATATCTAAAAATTCGCTTATTTGAAACATCTAATTACTTACATCATTTCTATTCATGCCAGAAATAACTGCTCTGGCAGTGTTATATACAGAAGCAGCTGCAGTAAGAGCATTAACCAGACTTTCAGGCAAAACTTGTACCATTCTATAAATTAAAATTCAAGTTTTACTATAATACCCTTTATTTAAGTTTATAATATAAACTTTATAACTGCTTTATTAAATACCTTTCTTCATTAGGAACAACATCTACTCTCAGGTTTGGAGTCATTCCATTACTTATATTTTCATTTGTGTGGGAAAATTGCTACAATAATAATAAAAATTTAGTTACACTCGAAATGCTGTCACTTCATTTCATTTATAATTACAAATTCGATGAAGACTTACTTCAATTTCTGCATTAATATAATTGCTTAAATTAGATGAATCTGGAACTTGAGATGCCTGTTTATCAGTTTCCAAATCATTTACAGATTGATCCAATTGAATTAAATTTTGCAAATGAGATTGTTGATTGTTATCTTTCTTATCTTGACTTTTGGTTTCTTGAGAGGCAGCAGCATCTTTCATTGATGAAGTATTTCCATTATTAAGATTATTGACAGAAGGAAGAGAGTCTGTACTTGCTCTCCTTGTTGATGGCAAGCTGTATATTTCTGTGAAGTTTTCTGTAATAGTTTCTTCGTCTAATGCAGGAGGAAATTCTATATGAGACATTAATAATAGAATCATGCAATTAATAAAAAAAAATTAAACTAGTATTTATAGTTTTTATAAACTAAAAATTTTAAATAATTGAACAGAAGTGAATATTAAAAATTTACCTTTTTGTAATGAACTAGGCACTAGTGGTATATCCATATTATAACAAACAGGTTTCGGTACAATTACAAATTCAGTCTCTGATTCAGAGCCAATTGCATTCAACACACTGACAGTATCATCACTTTCAGATCCTATAAGATAGCAATTAATCTAACATAAGATTAATATAAATACAAATTAAAAGTCTTCTTTTTTATTTAAATATTACTATTTTTATATTTTTTTCCAGCAAGATATAAANAATCGATTAACAGGTAATTTTATTAATAAAAAAATAATAATAATTCCGGCAATTTAAACCATGCCAATTCTACTTTCCAGTCACTGGAGAAGGGGCATATTGGCTTTTAGCCTGTTTAACACCCCAGCCAAAAAAGCGAATAACCAATAAATTCGTTCCCCCTTCTGGCTTATTGCCCTGTACATTTTGGTCCAACCTCATCGATTAACCGAGTCGACAAAGAAGTCACGTGTACTACACCCTCTCTGACATCATCACGTAGCGAAGCGGCGAAGGACGTTTATCAGGAGTAATTCTCACTGCCACCGTCAACACTTCAAGGTCTGCCGGATATTTATCTGTCGAGAACATCGCATCAACAACTTTACTTCAATATTAAGTAAATATATTGCCATCAGGATAACAGATAAAATATTAAAAGCATTGCTTTTTTTTTATTATTATTATTTATTTTTTTCCAGTCGCCAACAGATAAACGGCTGTGTCTATAAATAAACCAGTCACACGGAGCTAGGCTTCTGGTTAATTAAATGGCGAAATTCAATCGAGTTGCGAAAACCTCGATTCCGACCGAATTCCACAATTTAAGGCGGTTTACGTAATTTCGAACGGGGACCCCTACCGGTGAAAAACGATTAAATTGAAAATTTAATCCAAATTATGTCACGCGATCATCTATAAAATGGTTAATTATTCATATCATACCCAATTAATTTTAGACGGACAAATTAAATATTTTTGGTAACGTATACGAGTATAAATACGTTCGTACAATAAAAGTAGAAAATGAAACTTTAGCGCAATTATGGCTCCGGGATACCGATTAAAAGTTTCGACAGATTAATGAGAAATTTTATTATTTACGTTAAATTCAATTTTTTTTTAAAAAATCATTAACTTAAAACGAAGAGTGAGAAGAGTGCAAGAATCCCAAAACCTCCTTCTTTTCCCTTTCTTCCATTATGTGATGTATTATTATGTTCAGTGTTCCATCAGCAGTATTATATGGATCGCTGTTGTGTAGTACATATTTGTCTTTGTACTTCTGTTCATTGGAAATTCATTATTTAACTTAGTGTACAGTGTCTGGTGTTGTGATCGTGTATCGAATTCGTGTTCTTGCAATAATAAAGATTTTTTTCTTGGAATGGCGTATTCTTTATTTAATCGTCTACCTCTACCCTACTAAATCGAATCAGCCCGAAACGTCTACACTGTCTGTAGGCCTTCTGCAACTGCGCTTTATGGAAAATTCCGAGTAAAAACAATCGATTTTGACATTAAAAATTCCATCGATTATATCAACTATTTTAATTACGTTACAAATGAGATTTGATTAAAAATGTCGGATAGAATTCTCGTTTAATTCAACTTGACCTTTTCAACTTTGAGCTTGAAAACATTGCGTAAAGTCTAGTTACTATAGTAACCGCGATTATCGACGTCAATTTGGAAATTTCAGTTTGTTAAAGAAATTCCTCGAATTTCCTAATAAAATATGGAGATTCGTCATTTGGCAATTACGCGAATTTAAAATCCACCTCAACTATGGAAATTTTGGCCAAACGTTTATTAACGCTATCGGTATTCGAAATATTTTACGAACATTATCGTTCTTTAATTACGTAAATTTCAAGTACTGTACAGTAAATACGCAATTACGTTTCAGGGTCGCCAGACATATTGAATTCCCGGTAATTATAACAACACAGAAGCGCGAGAATCGATTAACAGGTAATTTTATTAATAAAAAAATAATAATAATTCCGGCAATTTAAACCATGCCAATTCTACTTTCCAGTCACTGGAGAAGGGGCATATTGGCTTTTAGCCTGTTTAACACCCCAGCCAAAAAAGCGAATAACCAATAAATTCGTTCCCCCTTCTGGCTTATTGCCCTGTACATTTTGGTCCAACCTCATCGATTAACCGAGTCGACAAAGAAGTCACGTGTACTACACCCTCTCTGACATCATCACGTAGCGAAGCGGCGAAGGACGTTTATCAGGAGTAATTCTCACTGCCACCGTCAACACTTCAAGGTCTGCCGGATATTTATCTGTCGAGAACATCGCATCAACAACTTTACTTCAATATTAAGTAAATATATTGCCATCAGGATAACAGATAAAATATTAAAAGCATTGCTTTTTTTTTATTATTATTATTTATTTTTTTCCAGTCGCCAACAGATAAACGGCTGTGTCTATAAATAAACCAGTCACACGGAGCTAGGCTTCTGGTTAATTAAATGGCGAAATTCAATCGAGTTGCGAAAACCTCGATTCCGACCGAATTCCACAATTTAAGGCGGTTTACGTAATTTCGAACGGGGACCCCTACCGGTGAAAAACGATTAAATTGAAAATTTAATCCAAATTATGTCACGCGATCATCTATAAAATGGTTAATTATTCATATCATACCCAATTAATTTTAGACGGACAAATTAAATATTTTTGGTAACGTGTACGAGTATAAATACGTTCGTACAATAAAAGTAGAAAATGAAACTTTAGCGCAATTATGGCTCCGGGATACCGATTAAAAGTTTCGACAGATTAATGAGAAATTTTATTATTTACGTTAAATTCAATTTTTTTTTAAAAAATCATTAACGAATAGAAACGGAACGTAAATTCTTTATAATTTACATAAAATAGTGTTTAAAAATATAAAGTTAAATTTAACTCGAAATGATTTCAATTTTAAGAATTAAAATGGAAACGATTTAAATAGTATCGTTTCTCCTTACTGGTGTTTTTGAAAGAAACAAAACGGCGTTGTTTTTTAATTCGCGAATTTCACCTTGAAATTTTGTTTTAAATTCCAAATTACGTCAATCGATAATTAAGTTTATCGCGTATAGATGGCGTACGAATTTTCTGGCGAAAAGCCAATATGGCGTGAAATATTTTTTTCTCCCTGACCTCTGTTAAAACCTCGAAGTCTTTCGAGATGTCAAGGTCAGAGAAGAATAATTATTCTTTTTTTTTCTATCTATTTTTCGATAAGAAAATATCTTCTTCCGTAAACATTTCCATAACAGTACATCCGAAAATCTTTAATTTCGCGATATATTTAAACAAAAAAAAAAAAAAAATTATATCANTTGAAAGCTATTTAAAATTTTCAACTATATAGAACGCTAAACATAACACTTTGACAAATGATATACTGCATAACAAAGTAAAATAAACACAATTTTAAAATTTAATTCCTCTTTTCACATTAGCTATTAATTAAAATAATTATTACCATAATTAATTTTATAATTATAATATTTTAATTATACAATATATTTCACTTTAACATTAAAAAGAAATGTTTAAGTTAATACTTAAACATTTTACTTTGATGTTTTTATACTTAAAACAGTAGCATTTCAAACTTCTTGATATACATCTAAGAATTTTTCTTCTATTTACAGATTATGAATTTATATATTTTTAATCTATATAACATTTTATATTCAATATTAATAAAATGTTAATCAACTAAACATATACATATATATATTACCTGTAGAATAACTTTCTATTTGTAAAGTTGAGGAAATATTACTTTCTTGTATATTATTTGCTGTCTGCATAAAAGAAGGTTCTGGTGATTTAGGAGGACTTAAATCTAAAAAGTAATATATATATATTAATTTATTTAAATGAAATGAAATGGAATTAATTATTAGAAATATTTATTCTGTAATTAAAAAACTAATTATCTGCTTAATCCTGTTCTTTGAATATAAATAGGCCTACTGTTACCTATAAAAATATTTTCTTATCTGTAGTTATTATCATCATTTAAAGAGATGAAATCAAATTATTATACTCCATCACAACAAATGCATATACTAAAACTAGTTAATGGATTCTACTTATTACATTATTTTCAACTAAACACTTTCGAATTTCATTTGTCCAGCATAATTTCTTCAGAGTTAGTATCCATTCAGACTGAAGATGGACAAATGAAGTCTGACACACTTATCAATAGTTAAAAACAATGTAATACATGGAACACTTAATTAAGAAGTTTTGGTATGTGAGATATTAAATCAAACTGAAAGATGAATCTAATGTATTTAGATATATAAATTTAAGCATATATAAAGATGAATGTGTGCTGAAGAAATTAAGGTATAATTGAATAAATGAATTTTTATCAAAAAACATAGGAAACATCTGTTTATTTATAAATTTGGTACTTATCAAAGGACTCAATTAACTATAATGCACCAAAATCTGCAGCAACATAACACACATTTTAATCAGGATTAAACATATAACTAATTGAATAAGAATATTTTTTTGTATTAGCAATACTAAATCCATGTCAGGAATTTGTATTCTGTATGCCTATGACTTAAAACCATTCAGCTAGCAAGTTTTTTTTTTATTAAGTTTCTTAATTAGGCAACCTTTAATTTTCTATTAAAGATGGAAAAATTATTTTAAGTAAAATTTTTAAAAGCTTCTTACAGGAAAGTAATATTTGTTCTAATTTATAAACAAAATAAGTAAATTCAGGAAACATCTATTTTGCTATATATATTTATCTCAAATATTAAAATGTTATTTCTCTATTTCACTTCCATTAACAATTCATTGTATATATATACAAATATGTAACTAAGCATAAATTTTCTATAATAATCAATTTATTATATGCCACTAACATTAATAATTATTAATATTAGTATCAGATTGCAATCTAACTGCCTAACCTTTATAACAAATTATTTTATATTAATTGTTGATAGATAGTCAAAATATAGCCTGAATAATCCAGAATTTAATGATTTAATTAATTGTAAAATTGATTACAATTATAGAATAAGTGGTGGCGATTATGATGATAAACTGGAGAGTCAATTCTTTACTCTCTTAAATTTAAGTTGTAGTAAAATAAATTTAAAATTTTAAAAAACAAACTATCAACTAGGAACACTCCAGTTTTACATCTACACAATATGCTTCTTNAGTCATACATGAAAAGTATTTAATTTTTATGTAAATAGAGGTCTTAATCACAAAATTCAAGAAATCTTATACTAAAAATACTTATATTTCTTAGATATACGAATGTATATTTTTTAACAATAGACATAAAGCAGCATTTCTCAAACTTTACATACAACAGAATACTTTGCAAATCCTAAAATTTCTGTAAAAATTTTTACAGAATACCCTGGCTATTTTGTAAGATATACAAGGTATATATAAATAATAAATAAAATAAATAAGTAAATCTAAACATTAAGAGAAAACAACTTAGGGTGCAACTATGCAGATGCAAGTGACAAGAATATGTAGTGAGAACAGGTGATGGCATTTTACGCTCTTTGTTTCTCTCGTTTATTATGACCACACAGACAAGAGCAAGAAACAAAGAGCATAAAACGTCATCACCTCTTCTCGCCACATATTCTCGCTCACTCAGAAAATTGACTCGCTCGCATCTGCATAGTTGCACCTTTATTCCCAAATGTTAATTATTTAAAACAAAACACAAATCTCTGAATTTTGGAAAATATTGCAAATGGTTTGATTGTAAGTCATGCAAGTGTTCTAAAATTATATTAGAAACTTCATCTACTTTAGAATTTATTTCAGTTAAGCATTCATTCAAGGTGTGAAAACAATCAAAATTCTGTTTAATTGTAGAAATCCAGAATTTTAACTTCCTATCAAAAGATGCAATTTTATCTCTTGTATTGAAAATTTTAATACTCTTTCCTTGTAATGATAAATAATTTCATTGCACTTTGTAAAAATATATATCAGATACACAAGACTCATTAATCATGAAGAATCTGTTAAAAATTCAATAAAGTCTTGTCTTAAATTATGTTAAGTCAAGCGGACCAATAGCTCACTACCAAGTTCAAAAAGCCTCCATAGCACTTTTATTCTGGATAGCCATCTATCTCACTTCAATATGTAATAAAAGTGCATTATGTGCACTATCCATTCCATTGCACAAAATTTTAAATTATCTGAATTGAAGTGGTTGAGATTTTATATTCATAAATTTTATGGCTTCATCCAAAATAGTTTTTAAATATGTAGGAATTTTTTTGTTACTAATGCTCTCAATACAATACACAATGATTTTTGGTGGCTCTTGTAGCTACTTTCAGAATATATGTTACAGCACTCTTCATCTCTCCTACCATTGCTTGAGCATCATCTGTACAAATATCAATACACTTCACTTAACTGATTTCCAGTTTTGTTGGGCTGCAATTTGAAAAAATTGTAGACTTATAAATTCCCACTGTCATCCGTTCGTCTTTTTCTTAATCTCAAGAACAGAGTTAGATAGATGAAATCAAAGACCAAGTATGGAAACCTTAGGGGCAGGAGGCCCCAATTAACTATATACAAACTTCTGATGCAAACCAGATTCATGTTATTTCAATTCAAAAATTTTCTGCTGAAAGGTGTTTATATAGATGACTAGCACAACTCAACTGTTAAAGGAAAAGTATGATGTACAGGGGCAATTCATTACTAATTTGAGGTGGAAAGTATATACAGTAAGACCCTGCTTAACGCTGATTCAATATAACGCGGTCTGCTTGATGCCTAAAAAACGCTCAAAATTTACACTGATTCAAATTAACGTGGTATTTCATTGATTCGTATATAATACAATTATTCCTAAACATGAACCAATCAGCAAAATGTGGCAATTTGTCGTAGCACTGTACTTCCCTTAAATCTATGTTTGTTTTGTTCAATTTTGGAAAAAATATATCACGGATGCCATAAGAAATATTGACTTCGCTTGGCAAGAATTAACTGCTAAATGCATGAATGGAGTGTGGAAGAAGTTATTGCTGAAGGTATCCAAAAATTCTCATTGAGAAGAGCCTATCGCTGCATCATTAGGTTGACAAAATTGCCAACTTAATCGATGCAGGAGATGTAGACAAGCAGGATATTGGGGAGTTACTGCAGGTTTCTGATAAGAGCCTTACCAACGATGACCTTCAAGAACTGGCAGAACAAAGAATTCCTGTAGAATTGGAAAATAGAGATTCTGAAGACGAAGAACCCAAAAAATTTCTCTACAGTTTTCCTTAGTAAAAGTTTGGTAACCATAACCGAAATTGTCAATCAAATTGTACTGAATGATCCAGATTTTGATAGGATGCCAAAGCAAAACAAGGCATTTTGGATCCGATCATCTGCTACCGACATTTGCTTAAGGAAAGAAAAAGAAAGCAACCAATGAAACTACATGATTTCATCACAAAAAGCAAGAATTTCAGAAGAGCCAGGATCCTCATCACAAAAAATTAACATTTCTATGTGCATATGTTGTGTGTTATTTAACATATATTATTATGCAAAAATTTATATAAAAGTAACTTAAAATTATAGTCAAATTTGGTTGCATGTTCCCCTATCCCTATTTACTGTTACAATTTTTATGATGAACTCAGGATATTTTTCCAATTATAAATTAGAAATTGTAACTACATGCAAATTGAAGATAACTCGTATCCACCACTAGAGGGCTTGAACCTGATACAAATTGTATAAAAGTTGATAGTAGGGTGAGAAGAATTACTTTATTTTTTAATGTTAAGGTGTCAGAACCTAAAATGAAAGACTGACATCTGGTCATTTTTAAAGATGTGAATGTTTACCTATTGTTATTTGTTTTTACGAAGTGATTTCTTCAATACCAATGTAAAAGGTGTACTTCTATGGTGCGTGAAAAGGATTAACTGATAGACTCAAAAATTAAATCATTTTTTGTAAATAGTCTGAACTTCTAATTTATAATTACTTTATGTTAAAATGGTCTTGTTTCACGCTGTTTCGCTTAGCGCTTTGTTGTTTAGAAATGCATCCCCTGTGTTAAGCAGGGTCTTACTGTATGTTAAACTAAATAAATTTAGAATACAATTATTGCAGCCCAGCATTGTGACAATGTCACAATAAATAATTGCTCGTAAATCTTATATCAAATAAGCAATAAATAAACAGGGCCAAGTACAGGGAGTCCTTATTTGACGTGGCTAACTAGGACCAAAAAGTTAACACTAAGTGAATCTATGTAAAATGGGGATCATAAATTAATAGAAAATCATATGAAAAATGTTTAATTGGGACTTCAATAAAGCAAAACCAAATGAAAAAACATGAAAGAAATATTTATCATCCCTATTAACACATATATTAATCATAAATATTTTACATAATATTTATAAATAATTTTGAAATTCAGTTTTTTATAACTAAATTTTAGAAGGGTCTGGTTGTGTTTCATCATTTTCATTGACTGCTGAGTTTTGATATATGAAAAATGAATCTAAAGTACACTGTTTTCTACAGTTTACTTTTTCATTTAACATTGTTTTATAACAACTGCCTCTTCCTTTCCCACCTCCGTTTGAATATCTTCATACAGAGACTAAGCTTATAGGTATATGTTGTTGATAGAGATCTTCAATCCGTGTTGCTAGATGCTTTTCCATTATCTTTATTACATCATTCCTCAGTCATGTTAGTTTTACTTAAGAATGGCATAGCTTAGGTTTAGCTTTGGCTTCCAAATCCAAGACTTTCTTAATAATTGTGTGAACTGTAGTTTCAGGAATGTTAAGGGCA